ACCGTGCCGAGCTTAGGCCATTCATTCTGCCCTCAGCACAAAAGAGAAAGCGTGCGTGGGTTAGGGATATGGGGGGGAGATGTCAGAGTGAATTTTTTTGACAGAAAGCATCTATCTTGAGACTGTGAGAAAGCCGGCTTGAGGTTGAAACCAAAACAGAGAGAAGCTGAGCCTCCAGAAATGCAGAGACAGAAGATGAGTCCTGACCCATCTCCTAGACTTTTCTTCCACTGTATGAGCAATAAATTCCATGTTGTTCCGATGGTCGGTAGGCTAATCTTGTCTTATTTTTCAAAGACATATTGGAGTATCCATACCTCCTCCTCCTTTACCCTGGTTCCTGAAATTCCTACTCTACATTCCAGATTATGTATCGGACATCACATAACAATCAAGTTTTAGGCAGAAGTAACAGACTGGAGATCATCAAATTATAGACAGAAGCAACAGATTTAAGGCTGGATGGTTTACCCAGTGAATGCTTCCCTAAGAGAGCACTGGGGAAACTGGGAAGTATAGCCAAACTCATCTTATTCCGTAACTATTCCTTTTCTGCCCTTGTGATTATTCCTTGCTTCTGTTACACATCTTCCATAGCTGCCTGTTCAAATCCCACCCAGTTAGAATCACTTACACACAAGAGCTTGCTTCCTCTAACGGCTTCCCTGATACCCTCAACTGGAAGAAAACTAGCCCCTTCCAGAGGATGGACTGCTCTCCCACACACGACTAAACTGAGAACTCTTTACCTACAGAGTATCTGGTTGGACTATCTTCTTTGAATTATTTTAAGCTCTAACACAATATGTCCATAACCTTGGCTTCTCCGAGAAAGCAAATCCAATGACTGAAAACCATGTTTGTCTATTGGAATTGCAAGCCAAAGAGTGGTTTCTGCATCACAACAATCAGCATCACCTGAGAATATGGACAACACAAGAATCTATGGGACCTTCAGAACCAGAGGTTCTTCAGTGAAGTCCACCAACAGGTATTTAATAGGTTGTCTGGATTCTAGTGTGCTTGGAATTGGAAGAACAACTAGACCCAAGAACGCTTTAAGCTATGGGTTGAGGAGTAGATGACCCTGGTCATCTAGGAGCAGGTTGAAGATCAAGTGAAGATCAAGGAGAGCTCTGTGCCCTGTGATGAAACCATAGCAACCATGGAGGGTTTGACTCTGGGGTAGTAAATGCATGGTGCCCAGACTGAGCTATCCAGAGCTGAGGGTCCTGTTAGTTTGGCATCCAGGTTTTGACGCGAAGCCCAGGACGTCCTCATTAGGTATGCATCTAAAGGAACTCCAATAAGGGGTCTAGACTCTGTGTGTGTGTGTGTGTATGCATGTGTGTGTATGTGTGTTATGTGTGTGTGTGTCCATGTGTGCTGGTGTACTTGTAGGGGTTGCATGCGAATATGTGTGCAGGTCTTAAGACAACAGTAGTCGTTCCCCACATGTCATCCACGTTGGCTTTGATTTCTTGTTGGCGCTATGTTTTTACTTTTACGTATTTGTGTGTGGGTGGTGGTGGGCATGTGTGTGCTATGACATGGATGTGGACATCAACCGACCGCTCATGGTAATCAGTTCTCGCATTCTACAATGTGGGTCCCAGGGTCTGAACTTAGGTTGCCTACCTGGTACCTCTACCCACTGAAACTTCTTAGTGACTCTAGCTTTTGTTTGTTTGTTTTTTTTATTTTGTTTTCGAGACACTAACTTTCATCAGCCTATAGCTCACCTAGCAGGCTAGGCTGGCTGCTGAACCTCAGGATCTGCCTGTCTCTACCCTTATCAAGATGACATCACTCACCATAATGCCTGTGTTTTTTGTTTGTCTTGGATTTTTTTTTAATTGTAAATTCTGAGAATTAGGCTCATTTCCTTATGCTTGGAAGGCAAGCACCTTACCGACTCTTACTGACTAAACTATTTCCCCAACCCTAACCATTCTTTAGTGTTCTTTTCTTTCTTTATTGCCAGTCATAGACGGCACAATTGCTCCCGCCCACGTTTCTTATATAATTGTACATTTCTAGTTTTCCTTTTGGGCAGATTTAAGCTGAGAACCACAGGACTGTTTGTGACCTTCCAGTGACTCAGGCAAAGAATTCATCAAGATATTCTTATCTGTCTGGGGAAAAACCCTGAGATGGTTCAAAAAAGGAAGGGACAATACAGATGTCCCACGAGCCCTAGGCAAGATTCTTGTCTCTCTACTCCCGAGCCTCATTATCTCCTACCGAGTTCATAGCGCTGGTCTACTGTGAGCCTCCATAGACCAGAAACCACCCTGCTTCCATGATGGCCTCTTCAGGTGTGGGGTCTGTCCTACTCTACCAACTACATGTCTCCTTAGAGAATTCCTATCTCTCCTTCCATGCTCTACTTGGCCTGTTTAATCAATGTGAAGACAAACTATAATTTTTGAGGAAAGCTAGGCTCCTGCCTGACTTTACATAGTTTCCACAATAACCACAGATATTGGCTTGTACATGTAGATTTACCCTACCTTCTATTCCTGTGGTTATCCTAACACTTAGACTTTAACATGGTACTGATAGATATTTTTAAAAAAATATTCTGAAATGATGCTGATAAATCTTTACTTATCCTGTAAGATAATAGACATATCATCTGACAACTTATGCTGGATAGGTTGTGGGGTAAAGGGAACACTCCTGCATTGCTGGTGGGAGTGCAAGCTGATACAGCTCCATTGAATGTCAGTATGGCTATTACTCAGAAAATTAGGAAACAACCTTCCTCAAGATTCAGAAATACCACTTTTGGGTATATACCCAAAAGATGCTCAATCGTACCACAAGGGTATGCGTTCAACTATGTTCATAGCAGCTTTGTTTGTCATAGCCAGAACCTGGAAACAACCTAAATGCCACTCAACCAAAGAATGGATAAGGAAAATGGTACATTTACACAATGGAGTACTACACAGCAGAAAAAAAATAATGACATCTTGAAATTTGCAGGCAAATGGATGAATCTAGAAAACATCATATTGAGTGAGGTAACCCAGACCCAGAAAGACAAATATCAAATGTACTCAGTCAAAAGTGATTTTTAGACATAAAGAAAAAAAATAGCCTACAATTTACAATCCCAGAGAACCTAGATAACAATGAGGACCCTAAGAGAGACATACATGGATCTAATCTACATGGGAAGTAGAAAAAGACAAGATCTCCTGAGTAAACTGGGAGCATGGGAACTTTGGGAGAGGGTTGAAGGGAAAGGGAGAGGAAGGGAGGGGAGCAGAGAAAAATATATAGCTCAATAAAAATCAATCTAAAAAAATCTCTCAAAAAAGGCATATGATCTTCAGTTAAAAAATCATATTTTCTCTTATTAATCATCAAAATATTCTAAGGTAGAATCCTTTTTAAAAGTTGTTGTTTTGACATATTGTTTTCAAGTACAGAGTTTTTCTTGAAGTATCTAATTTTTTCATTGTGCCACTATCAATAAGAAGTGTTTTTCCTATTACTTTGTATAGTTCCTGTGATCATATCCTGAAGTACTGTGGGAGAGACTTTTTAACGGCAAAAAAAAAAAAAAATACTTTTTAATGAAGACAGCCTACTTTTGTTGAGAAACTATGGTGCCATGGATACTGCAGGTGTTTGGCTCATCCCAGCCTCTATCAGTCCTGTTAAAATGGATGCTATCTTCATTTTACAGGTGAGAAAACTGGGCTGTAGTTAGAGGCAGATCCCAAATTGAGCTTTGGATCCCGTCCTTTCTTCTTGAAGACTTCCTCGGCGCCGTGCAGATCAGGGAACTCTCAGGCACATTCTCCCTGCGTATGCTAATATCTATACATAAGTGTGCACAGGGCTGTTCAAAACCTGTTATGAATACAAACTCCACTCTACTAAAAATGCACCCAAATTCTGATCCCGTGTTTGATAAACACTTGAAAAGGACAGTATACTTTGAGACTTAAAATGTATTTAAATCCTGACTTCCAGTATCTGCAGCTGCTTATTAGCCATCAGCAGGTTTTAATATAAGATGTGTTGAATGGCTGCTATAAAAGGTTGCTCAGATTCTTGGTTAAGTGCCGAACGCTAGAGCACATAACTCTCGCTCGTTCCCCTTACCTGGCCTGCTGGTCTAATCAGACTACATGCCTTTAGAGCACTGTTCCGGCTTGACTGAAAGAAGGCTACCTTTGCACGAGGAGGAAGCTGTGGAAATGAGATAATCTGAGCAGAAGCAGGTGAAATGCTGGGCTTGCTTAGATCTATTTTTAAATGGCTGTCAGACGCCTGTAACTGACACCCTTAATTGGAAGTTCTGAAGTTTAAATGTATTTATTAAAATTTACTAAAATGTAACATGATGACGAATCCTGTTTTTTAATGATTTCCCTTTTGGGCTGACTTTTTAATCTCGAGGATTTTTTAAATCTGTTTTAGTGACAGTGAATGTCTATATAAGTCATTTTTAAATACCCACTGTGATTTTCCAGCAACTTGAGCTATTATTGCACAAGAAAGCTGCCCACCTAGAAAGCTAACATTTTCTAATCATTCAGAAAATCCCAAGCAAAAAGAATAATATTTGAACAAAATATTTAAATGCCCGGGGCTAGTATCAAGTAAATATTTGCCTTGATTCCTCAAGTTTACAGTGGACATGATCTTCATTTACAAATCGGTCCTTTGGGTCGTTTTTTATGTTTGTTGTTCTAACTGTTAAGACAGGGGTGGTGTGAAAGGAATGATTTTAATCACTGGCAAGCCAAAATAAACAAACATTTTAAAATGTTCCCAAGTTTCATAGAGGTCAGAGGCGACTTGACACAAGACCTTGAACATTTGGCCACGTTAAAGCCTGATACACCCCAATATCCCCTCCAGCCTCTGTCTGTCTCAAAAGGAGACAGCCTGCCTTTGTTCTCTGTTATAGAAAATGTCGACAGTGATATTTAAAGGATAGCCAATCCTTGTTAAAAACTGAAAGTCTCCATACTTACTTTTCAATTCTGTTTATCCAGGAGATGTTATTGGAGGGCTGGCTTGCTGTCGGGGTCCCCTGGCCGTATGTGAAGCATTGATTGGACGTCTTTATGTCCTTGTCCCCTGACAGGGACTGAGATTCAGGGTCTCGTCCACAAACAAATCAAAGCACAGTTGGGTCTGTTTCAGAAAAACTCATGTCTTCTTAGGAGGGAAAAGTCCGCGTCCAAGCAAGTTCTGGAAGGAGAGCAAGTTTTGCCTGCCCTTGAATGAACTAGGTCACGGCTGAAGCTGGAGAATATTTTTTTTTTTTTTTTGCATCACTGTGATGAAACTTGAGGGCCGTTTTCTGCAGTAGGTGCGACTCTTGCTGGCACTGCTTGCCTGAGAGGCCCTGGCAAAGGGACTTGATGAAACACAGCCCTAGGGAGTTGAGATCCAGATGAGCCTTCACTGACTGCTGCTGGAGGACAGCTCTCGCACAGTCTGTGCAGGACCTTGATTTAATCGCTCTCCTCTGAGGACAGCGAAGGAATCAGGCATTTGGAAGTCGTGATAAGGAAACCCCCAGGGAGGGAGATGAAAATAAGATCTCACGTGTTATCCCTTTAGAAATGACACTGAGTCTCCCTCTGAAATTCTCTGAGCAGAAGACACAAAAGACAGGAGTTTCCCCTCCCCTGAGGAATTTGAGGCCATTCTCAGCAATACAATGCGTTTAATGCCAGCCTAGGCTATCTGAGACCTTGTCTGAAAAACAGTCAGGCATGGTAGCAACACACCTTTAATCCCAGCAGTTAGGAGGTAGAGATTAGCAGATCTCTGTGAGTTTGGGGCCAGCATGATCTATATAATGAGTTTCGGGCCAGTCAGGGCTACATAGAAACACCCTATCTCTAAATTAATCAATTAATTAATGAACAAACAAATGAATGAAAACGATCATGAGAAACCATAGAAAGTGCTCCCAGGCCCTAGTCCTGCAGTTTGTCAGCCATGATTCCTGTTTCAAAGAAGTTTTGGTATGAGCGTTTCTTTGAATTTTGTTTAGACCCAAGAAAGGACATGGAAAATCCAGAGACATCCTTTTTTTAAGTTTTCTTGCCTCACTACAAAAATATTTTAATGCTTGATACCTGGAAACTGACTAGTTAGAAGGAGACCTCTTGTGAGACAGACGTGGCTAAAATTAGCACCTCTAAGTGGGTGACTTTGAAAGGGACATGACCGAAACCTCCCTCTGTGGTGAGCCCTGTGCTCCTCAAAAGCAACGCGACGGTGTGAGTTACAGTGTGTGCCTCCCTGTTATTGACAGAAGAGGTTCACAAGACAAAAATCCACAATCTGAAGCTATTAAATGTCAGGCTTGCACAGCTGGAGGGTTCAGTTCTTCAGTTTTATCTACACAGGAGAAGAAAAATATTGAAAGTTGAAAGGCCCTGAAGTAACACCGCTCTTTTGCAAACACACCCGTGGCATGGGACTGGACAGAGAGAACCAAATCCCTGGGTCTTTTCAGTCTAAGATCTGTTCCAGAGAAAGAGGAAGAACTTAATAGTCGGGACAAATAAACAAATCGGGCCATTGAGATGGCTCAGTGGGTAAAGGCACTTATCACCAAGCTTGACAACCTCAGTCCCGTGCCGGGACTCACTTGCTAGAAAGGAAGGACCAATTCCCACAGGTTGTCCTCCACCGCTCTGTGTGCTGAGACACATGTACATATACACAGTAAATACATAAACAAACAAATGTACTAAAAACAGTAACAGTAAAGGAATGTCACACACAAAAAACAGGAGAGGATAAAGTCAAAAACGAACAAATGGCCCAACACAATAGAGCAATATGAAGTGGTTAGGAAAGAGAGTTCTTATATGAGACAGTTGAAACTCACTCTGAGGCTTACTTTTATTTCAAGACCAATTCCTTGAACTCCTAGTATTTATCTCCTAAAAAAAAAAAATAATAAATGTAATACTATAGATATCTGCAAACCCATGTTTGCTGCAGTAAAATTCACAATGAGCTAATTAGGAATCAGCCTACATACTCCTCAACAGATGAATGGATAAAGAAAACGTGGCATGTTTGCACAATGGACTATTCAATCACCCATTCAAGAAATTAAAATTATGTTGCCTACAGGAAAATGGATGGAACTGGAGATCATTGTGCAAGATAAGCCAGTCTCAGAAAGTCAAGTATGATGATCGTTAATCATCGTCAACTTGAACGGACTGAGAACTCACTGCAGAAAAACACCTCTGGCTGTGGGCGAGGGTATTTCCAGAAGGTTTGACTGAGGCTGGAAAACAAACCTGAATGTGGGCAGCGCCATTCTGGGAACCAGGGTCCTGGGATGAATGAACAGGAGAAGGCTAGCTAAGCATCACATTCATTATCATCCTCCCTGCTGCTTCCCCCCCTCGCCATCCCCCGACCCCCCACCCCCACTGCAGATGTCACGTGACCAGCTGCCATGCCTTTCCTCACTGTGATGGGCTGTGTCCTCTCACACTGTAATCCCTCAGTCAGGTTGCTTCTCGCCTGCTCTTGGATCACAGCGACTAGAAAAGAAGCAACACAACAAGCATCATGTATATCATGTATTTTCTATCACATGTAGAATTGGGGATAGTGGATTTTTTGTCAGCTTGGTACCAGCTAGGATATCATCTGGGATAAAAGGGCCCTCAATTGGGGAAATGCCTCCATGTGACTGGCCTGTAAGTATGTTCTTCATTGATGGTCAATGAAGGGGGCAGCAGCCCACTCTGGGCAGTGTCCCCTCCAGAGAAGGTGGTCTTATGCCCTATACAAAAGCAGGCTAGTCCAGCATTGGGAGCAAACTGGTAAGCAGCATTCTTCATGGCCTCTGCTCCAGTTCTTGCCTCCAGGTTCCTACTTCAAGTCCCTACCCTGACTTCCCTCCATGATAGACTGTCAACTATAAGACGAAATGAACCCATTCCTCCCCAGATTGCTTTTTATCATGGTGTTTATCACCATGGGCTAGAACAGGGAAGTAGAACAGGATATGAGAGGTGAAGGAACAAGAATGAGAAACAGAACAGGTGAGCAGGGCAGCACACATATAAGAGCTATGGAAATGTTATAATGAAACCCATTGCTTTGTGCAATTTATATTCTGATGAAAGTAAAATGAATGTATGAAGCTGATATATATATATAAACATATATATAAACACATATATATTAGGTCTGACCACATTTGCTTTGTCAATCATCTCATCAGCCCACAGATACTAGAATTCTTGTTTAAATAACAGATTTTGAAGGGCATAGATTCATAAAAATCAATAAAACAAACAAAACATGGAATTAAGTCCTATTTAGCCAGGATATTTGCTCTGAATTTTCTGCTTACTCGGGAAAGATAGAAGTAAGATTTTGAAGAGGAAATGTAAGGCCTATACATTTTTATTACATTAAAAACTACAAGTTTGTGCATAAAAATAAAATGGTAAAACATTTAGCACCATCTCAAGTAAAGCAATATAGAATAAAAGAAAAGAGGTTTCAGTGATCTTTTTCTGATGCTATAAACCAGCAGTGCCCGCCCTGTGTGTGGATCGTGACCCTTTCAGGGTTCACATCAAATATCCTGCATATCAGGTACATTATGTTTCATAACAGTAGCAAAATTACAATTATGAAATAGCAGCAAAATAATTGTATTATTGGGGTCAGCACAACATAAGGAACCGTATTAAAGGGTCACAGCATTAGGAAGGCTGAGAACCACTGCTTAAGCAAAAAAAAAAATATTTCTTCTGTAGGGAGATTTCCCTCCTACTGAGTACAGTTAGAAATGTAGTTTTATTACAGATGTTTTTTGTATTCCTCTTCCCAGAATCCTGTTTGCTATTTTCTTAGCTTCACAAAGGGGTGGATGTCCTCATGATCAAAGGCATCAGAGGCTTTGGGGTAGAGACCAAGTTGATCGCTAGCTAATCTGAACACTTAGAGCAAATCCACTTGATTCTCAGCTGCTCTTTGCTCCCATATCTTGGGCTAGGACTGGTACGTGGGGAACTTATCTGCTCGTATTTGTCTTCTGGCAGGGCAGGTCTGTGAACGCTGGTGTAGGATGTCAGAAGTGATGTCATACCCTTCCCTGCTGAACACTTTCTTGGCTGAGGCTTGGTACCAATCACATGTCTGAGCAGAGGTTCTGCCAGAATCCTTGGGACAAGCTGCAGCTACTTAGGTGTCTCTTGCTTTAGGGAGCTATCAGTGTTTGAGAAGGAACCACACACACACGCACACACACACACACACACACACACACACAGCATACACTCACACAGACACATAAATAAAAATAAATCCTAAGAGAAAAAGAAAAAAAAGAAAAACCAAACAAAAAATAAACAAACCAAAAAAACCAAACAGTGTAAGACCAACCATAGCTGTTATGCTGGAAAAATACTTACAGAAATCACCTAAAGGGATGCCACAATTTGATGTCTTATGTATGATTGAAAACCTTGTTGGTGCTGGGCAATGGTGGCACATGCCTTTAATCCCAGCACTCTGGAGGCAGAGACAGGCAAATCTCTGTGAGTTTGAGGTCAGCCTGGTCTACAGAGTGAGTTCCAGAACAGGTTTCAAAGCCACACAGAGAAACCCTGTCTTGAAAAAGAAACAAAAAACACCTTCTTGGTTTTGGGCAATAATAGTGAATCTCTATGATGATCTGCCTGGATCTGTTCCCATCTCCTCCCCTCACTTTGAAGCACAAAGGATCCATCATGGGCGTTTTCACTGTCATGGGGGTTTTCACTGTCATGTGTGATGGAGGCTCATTAGATTTAAATAGCAGAAATGTTTGCACTCAACAGTGTCAGTGCTGGGTGTAATCTTGGCGGCAGGTGAGTGGAGAAGGCCGTCATCACTGTTCCTGGCTTAAGAACGAGACTGCGACAAAGTCCACATTCACATGTAGTGCAGGTCAGAGAGAACCCAGCTGTCGGCATAGCCTCCCCATGAACAGAAGACTCAGGTCAGGGCATTGCAGAAGCAAACCCCAGGGCAGGCTTGAAAATGGTAGAAACTTAACTGCCCTCCTCTTGGCTCTCACTAATCTATTGGCAGAACATGGGAGATATTAATCATTTATGCTTTATGCTACTAAACTGCTCATTTCAAATGGGTGTGACAAGTGGTAAACTCTACACTGTTTACATTTTACCACGTATCTTGTTGATAGAGATGCCCTCCCTCACCACTGCAACCAACTGTGATCATGTGACTATGCCTGTACAGTATATCAGCTCTCTGAGACCTAAGTATCACAAGGTAGGAAAT